TTCTCTTTGTTATTAGATAGATCCCAAAGGGCTGCAGTTTTAAAGTCAATTTCCCCCCTTCATTTTTCCCTTCCTATTTTTTTTTAACATATAATGTATTATTTGTTTCAGAGGTATAGGTCTGTGATTCATCAGTCTTACACAATTTGCAGCGTTCACCATAGCACATACCCTCCCCAATGTCTGTCACCCAGCCACTCCATCCCTCCCACCCCCCACCACTCCAGCAACCCTCAGTTTGTTTCCTGAGATTAAGAATTCCTCATATCAGTGAGATCATATGATACCTGTCTTTCTCTGACTTATTTTGCTTAGCATAATACCCTCTAGTTCCATCCACGCCGTTGCAAATTAGCCTTCTATTTTAAAAATGCAGTAGATATATGTATATATATAGAGAGAGAGATAGGATATATATATATACACATATATATATAGATAAGATATATGTGTGTATATGGATAGGATATATATATATGTGTATATATATATATATGTATATCCTTCCTACCTCTTTTAAATAAACAGCATATATACACACAATTTTTCCATTCCATTTTGCTTTTTTCACTTAACAATATAACCTGGAGATAACTCCATAACAGCATAGATTAATATTTCTCATTCCCTTTATAGCTGCATGGTAATCCATTGTCTTTATTACTATGATGTATTTAACCAGTCCATTATTGATGGGCGTTATTGAGTCACTTCCAGTTTAATTCATATTACAAACAATAGTTACATTGTTTTGTCCTGTGAAACACCAATGGTCACCCGACTGGCATCAGTATATCCAATAGGCCCCTCATCCAGTCCATGCTTCACACTACTTGGAGGGTGATCTTTTCTGATCTGGTCATGTTACCCACCCATACCTGAAATTCTTGAATGGCTCCATAATGTTTTTAGGATAAAGATCAAACTCCTTGGCATGGCCTACAAGGTCCCACAAAGTCGCCCCCGTTCATCTCCTCAGCTGGATCTAGCCACCCCCTCATCCTTACTTTCCAGTTTCGGCCACACTGATGTCACATCAGAGCATGCTTCTTCCAAATGCAGGACCTTTTCCCCTCCTCTTTCGCCTGCCGAAAGCACTTACTAGTTAACTTCACCTAGTTAATGTCTACTTGCCCTGCAGATAGCATCTCAGCTCCTTAGGGAAGCCTTCCCTGACCTCCCTTACTAGGTCAGTGAACCTTTTTATAGGCACTTACATGCACTCAGCTCCATGCTCCACTTCTTATTTGTAGCACTTGTCATCCATGTAATTTCACATTTTTGTATGTAATTTTAAAAATTCCTCTGTCTTCACCACTGGGCTCTGCTCTGTGGAGGCCAGAGCCATGTTTATCCCCCCACTTTCACACATAACCACCAACTCACCTGAGGATTACCAGTGCCCAGCACAGAGCATGTGCTCAATCAAAGGGTAACAACAACTATATGAATGGCTTCTATAAGCCATGTTACTATACTAGGTGCTCTAAGTATATTGCTTCAATGAATTCTCACAAACCTAAGAAATTGATATTGTTTTTCATCATTTTAATGGCCTTAAGATTTCTGCTTTTCTGATCTTGGTAGTCTGTATTTTCTGTCTTTTTTTCTTGTTCATTCTTGTTCGTTCTTACATAAAAGGGGTTTATCAATTTTTATTTTTACTACATTTGATGTTACTGATCATTTTCTACTGTATGTATGTGCATATTTTTTCATTGATTCTGTTCTTAGCTATACTATTTCACTCCTTCTGATATCTTTGGG